CAAGCTAAGGATCTGATTCTATTCTCTCGATCTAGCAACTATATCATCCTTATTTTTGGGTATTTCAATGGAGAAGATGGATCCCTACTTATCTTCTTTATATATTTATATAGATTAGGGAGTTAACTTTTTTTAAGGTGTGTGGTGTCAACAGGATTGAAAACCACATCTTAATAACTAGGTATGGAAGTGCTACGACCACGACCCAACCCCTTTTCTAGCTATTATTTCATCTTTTAAGAGCCACATCACATTTATAGAGAGACAATAGAGAAGCATGCACAATAGAGGGACAATCTTTCTTCCATTTGGTCACTACCTTTAAAATAAATAATAAAAATAATAAAAATAAAAATAAAAATAAAAGTAAAAAAAGAGAAAATGAATATTTTTTAAAAGAGAGTAAAAAAAATGGTGGGTAACATGGACAAGCTGGAGTTGGGACCCCAAAAGAGAAGAGGGGCCAAACCATAGCTGTCCACCACTCAATTGAGTGAGTACCATTTAGCATGCCTAGCCCACCTATTTATTGGCTTAGCCAATGGAACCACCAGCTAAAATTAGCGGCTCGGCTAAATTACCCTTCATATTCCTATACAATTTTGTCACCTATACTAAGCTACCAAACTTGGTGAATGACTAGCTTGCACTTCTGTTTGTGATATGCCATGTAACATGGTTATTGTTCATGGATTTTGTGCATCTTGACATTAAGAACATAACACGTATTTGATGCTTTAGAAATTTGAAATTTTTTGTAGTCCTTTTTAAAATTTTAATATCTAATAGGAAAATTTATAGAACATCTTATTTTCTTATCGATTTAAAAAATGGGTGTGGTTTCTATATGGTTGTAACCTTAAACAATCCAATTAAGAAGCATCTCCAAATTTTATGCAATTTTAGAATAAAATTTCTTAGGATTATTTCAAAATTTATTTTTATATCTAATTATAAATTTTAAACTCTAAAAATGGTTAAAATCAAGTAGATCTATAAATATATGAAAATCCTGAAAATGGGCAATCTAGATAATGTGTTGCAAGATTCACTATTTCTAGGACTCAAAATCTTTTTTATTTTTATATTCGTATATCTCGATGCTGAGATGATCAATTAAAATTTCAATACTAAACAACCTTTGCTAATAGAGTTTTGAGGTGCATCTGTAATTCTATATTTTAAGGTTGCAACCTTGTAGAAACTTTTTTCTTTAAAAATAGTCTCATGTAATGTATATTTTATGATCAAGTCGCACCTTTTGAAGGTGTATATATATGTATATTTTACAATATTCAAAATTGTATTAATGAAAAAAAGATACATACAAGTTACTTTTTTTTTTTGGAGAAGCGAAGGATACATAGAAGTACTTGCGAGATCAAATTATCAGAAATTACAAGAGGGTCTGTAAAGCATTTTAATTTGAGTTTCTTTTCAGTAATTCGGATTAAACTCAAATTTGGGCAATTTATTCACCAAAAAATTCCATGAAAGTTGGGGCATAAAGCCACAATATACAATATCTCAATTTTGCATCCCACATATTTCGGTTATCGAATTAGAAAGTTTTGCCTTTAACTAGTAAATGAAGAGCGTGTCTACGATGCTCCCCTGGGAACATACAATTGATCTACTCCCTCTAGCAGAAATCCTACTTGGGCAAATTTTTTTAAATCTAAAAATTCGGAAACTAAGAAATCACTCGATGAATATTTTCAAAAGATAAAATTTAATTTTTAAGTTTTCTAACACTTAGATCACATCCACAAAAATTTGGACGTTCTTGGTTCAATCTTGAGACATTATTTGTTTCAAATGCTGGAGTGGATATGTGTGTTTCTTTAGGAAAAATTTTATATAAGGTTGCAACCTTAAAATGTAGCATTTAACGTGCACATAAATAATCTATCAGAAAAGATTGTTTTAATATTGAAAAACCTTCTAATTAATCATTTCAACATCGATATGTATGAGTATAAAAAAAAAGGATTTTGAGTCCCATAAATAGTGCATCTTGCAACACATTATCTAGACCGTCTATTTTCAAGATTTTCATATGTTTATAGATCTACTTGATGTTAACCATTTTTTGAGTTTAGAATTTTATAATTTGAAACAAAAATATATTTTCAAATTTTGAGAATTTTTTAGATCAAAATTATGTGTTAAGATAAAATTTGGAGGTGTGTCTTGATTGGATTGTTTAAGGTTGCAACCTCATACTTTATTGAGGTTATTCTATGGATTAATAATATTAAATATTCAAAATTTTGGATCCTAAAATTACTCCTAAATTGAGTTTTACCCAAAGGATTAAAAAGGCAAAGAATGCTCCCTCGGGAGCATGTTGACATAAATTACTTTTACAAAACTATGAAAGGTCAATTTATTTAAGGAAAAATTTTATATAGAGCCGACGCTCTAAAGTTTCAAATTAGAACCCGCCTACAAAATTTCCCTAAAAGAGGTTGTTTTGATGCCCAAATATCCTCAAATTGATTGATATCAAGATGCATGGACAAGAAAAAAAATGGATTTCAAGTTTTGAAAATAGTGCATCTTGTAACGGATTTTTGAACCATCAATTTTTAAGATTTTTAAGTTTTCATAGATCTGCTCGATCTATACTATTTTTTAAGTTTAAAGTTTGATAATTAAATATGAAAATATATTTAAAGGCTATCACAAAGATTTCCCGTATTAAAACCACATTTCTTGATACTATTTGAAGATGCGTTTAATTTGATTGTTTAGAGCATCGGCTCTGTACACACTGCATCATTTACCTAAAGGAAAAAGTTTATATTGAGCCAAGGTTCTAAACAATTAAATTAAAGCTCACCTCAAAAGTTTCACTAAAAGAAGTTGTTTTGATGTCCAAATATCCTCAAATTGACCAACTCGACATCAAGATGGAAGGGCATGAGAAAAAAAAGATTTCAAGTTTTGGAAAGAGTACATCTTGTGACACATTTTGGACCATCAATTTTCAAGATTTTCAAAATTTCATAGATTTGCTTAATCTAGACTGTTTTTGAATCTTTAAATTGTATAATTAAATATGAAAATATATTTTAAAGCTATCACAAAGATTTCGAATATAGAAACCACATTTCTCGACACTATTTGAAGGTGGGCTCTAATTTGATTGTTTAGATCCTCGGCTCTATACAAACCGCACCCTTATATAAATACAACAAAAAATGCTCTTCTTTGAAAAAAAAAATATTACAAGAGTAATAAATATTAAAAAATGTTGAGTACATTAAGAAAATGCTTCATGTGTAAGAGCACCATAACATAACCCTAAAAAATTCTCGAATTTCATGGCTCATCCCAAGCCATCTAATTTGTCATCTAATGAGTAATAATAGTTGTGACCTCCTTGTACAAAAAGGAAATGGTCGCTATAGACAAACCCATTATTAAAAGATCGCAATATAGAATTTATTTATTTTGTTTAAATCATTATTATTCTAAGCTATCAACTTTGAACAAACCAGGTTATTTTTTTCATTTGGCTTGGGCCAATCAAGTGGGGGCTAAATTACCAAAATTCCACTATTTGTTCAAGGTTTTTAATCTTGATTAGGGGCAAGTTGGTTGTTTTCTTTCTTGAATGTTTTTTAAAGTGGTTCATGAGGGAAATGAAAAGTAGCATTACACTAAAAAAAACTTAAAAGTAACTCCTAATATTGAATAGAATGATTTGTGGCCTTTAATGACTTTATAAGATAAGAAAAGATATACGATGAGACCATTTATTTTTTGTACAAATTGGTCACAATTGATCTTGACCAATGGATATAATATTAGATGGTTTCATTTATTCTATTGACCGAGCTAAAACTTCAAAATAAAATTTTTCGTACTTTATGACACACCAAAGCTATCAAATTTCAGATAAGATAGTTTTACGTAATTGTAACCTCCTTGTACTTCTCATTGTATACAAACCCATAAGATAGTTTGGAATAATAGGAAGATCTATCAAAATTCTCCTGAACGATTGGCTCTGTAACATATTACCCATTTATTGTGATTTAATTTGAAAACCCCCATCAAAATACAGATAATTATGAATTGAAATGCTTAAAAATGAGTAAAATATTAAATAGCTAACAAGTTATGTGTATTTTGATAAATATTCTATTGATTATTTCTATAAGAGAAACTCGTCCAATCCCATGAGATAAAATGATTAATATTTTACCTATTTCTTTTGATTTATTTTTTATTTTTTAAAAAACCCACTTCTTTTGATTTAATTTCTTTAAACTCATTTCTTTTATTGTTTCGTACATAACTCATTTTTTTATTTAATTTCAAAAAATCCATCTAAACATAATGAGTTGGAATAGTTGAAAATGAAAAATATTAAATAATTGATACTTGATGTTTATTTTGATAAGGGAAAATTTATATATAGCCGAGACTCTAAACAATCAAATTAGAGGCTACCTCAAAAAATTCACTTGAAAATGTTGTTTTGATGGTCAAATATCTTCAAATTGATCATCTCGACATCAAGATGCATATTCATGAAAAAGAAATAGATTTCGAGTTTTTGGAAATATTATATTTTATAATGTATTTTTGGACCGTCAATTTTCAAGATTTCATAGATCTACTCAATCTACACTATTTTTGAAGTTTTGAACTTTATAAATAGATATGAAAATATATTTTAAGGCTATCACGAAAATTTTCAATATTCAAACCACATTTCTAAACACTATTTGAAGGTAGGCTGTAATTTGATTGTTTAGAGCCTAGGCTCTATACAAAGAGCATCCTTTGGACAAATATCCAAAATTACGATGGGCATTTCGGTCCTTTAAAAATTCAGGTCTAGTGAGAGAAATGCGCCAGCCAAGCTGCAGCCGTAGCCGTTGGTTAACATGAACACCGTTGGGTTGGAATTTTGTGTGGCATTTTCAAAATCAGTCGGAAAATAAACCGTTGAATCGACAGCTACAAAAATGGACTTTTCCCCCCTCTTTCCCTCTGTTGAGTGGTCTCTCTCTCTCTCAGCCATGCCAAAAAGCTCATAAAGAAGAGTGAGAAAGTGGAATTATTTCCTCCCCCGCTGTGTCCGCAAGCCACCATCATTGCCCTCTCCCTCTGCTCTCCTTTTTTTTGGGTCTCTCTCTCATTCTCCTTCACCATGTTTCCTGTTTCCGTGTAACTGCTCTGCCCTCTAGAGAGAGAAAGAGACCCATTTAAAGTTCAAGAAAGAGACCCATTTCCCCTCCTCTACCAGAGACACAGAGGGAGAGAGGAGAGGGAAAGAGACATGGCATTTGCAGGAACAACACAGAAATGTCACGCCTGCGAGAAGACGGTCTATTTGGTGGATAAGCTCACCGCCGATAACCGGTCCTTCCACAAGGCCTGCTTCAGATGCCATCATTGCAAAGGCACTCTAAAGGTTTCTTCTCTCTCTCTTCTCTTTCTTCTCTCTCTTAATGTTTCTTTTCTATCTTCTCTGTCTAGAAGTCTTTCTCTTGCTTTTCCTTCATTTGTATTGCAATTCATTTTGTGGGTTCTCTGTTTTGCTTTTGATTCTTGTTTCTTCTATGAAGATCTTGGCTCTCTCTCCCTCTACCTTCTATTTTTGTCCAAATTTTATTAGATTATGACATTTCTGTTTTATTTCCGTTGATTGTGATATTGGGTTTTTCTTGTTTGGCTTTGTTATGGACTTCACATCATCATCAACTTCTCCAGGTTTTTCTTCTTCTTTTTATTTTATGTAATATCTGAAATAATGCTGAAATTTAGTCCTCAAGATAATGGGTAATTGAGAATGTTTAGCTTCATTTCTTCTATTCATGGAATCAGGTTTTGTGTTATTTTTAAAAGATTGCTCAGATCTTAAAGGAGATAATTTACCTAGTTTCTGAATCCAAAAAAATTGAGCTAATCTTTGGCAAGGAAGGGGATAGTAAGATTGAGCTAATCTTTGGCAAGCAAGGAAGGAGATAGTAAAATTATTATTAAAAGAAAGAATAATAATAATAATAAAATAGAGTTTTCAGAGCTTCTTTTTTCCCTGGTGAACTTTTTCTATTTTCATAGAAAAGAATGGTGGTTATGAAATTCATGAATGCTTTTTCATATGTTGTTGTTATGATGATCAAGTGGTTATTGCTGTGGATCTGTTAACAATGTATTCAACGATAGCTACATTTTTTGTATCCTTTTCCTCTTTAAATTCCAAGCAGGGATCAATTACGATCCGATCATGGATACACTGTTAAGTCATAGATCAAGACCAAATTACCTTAATAATCTATGCTGTATTCAGGTATATTTCTCTGTTTTGAGCTGTGGAAAATAAGTATTTGCAATTCTAACAGATCAACTGGGCTTCCAAGATTAATGTCCGAAATGATTGATTTCGCCCCTTCTCATTAAATTTCCGTAAACACCCATACCAAGTGAAAGAAAGAAACCCAATTTACAAGAGAATCATTTATGAGGCCTGTTTTCTAGCTTTCCAAAGATCTTTTACATAATTAGTGCTTTTCCGAAAAGTTGAATTTGCAAGAACCATCCATCTTGCATTCTCTTTTTTCCTTATTTCTTTTCTTATTCTTCTTTTCCTTCTTTTCCTTCTTTTCCTTCTTGTTTTTTTCCGTTCTTGTTCTTTTCTTATTCATACCTTTATCTTTGTAATATGCAGCTCAGCAACTATTGTTCCTTTGAGGGGGTCCTTTATTGTAGGCCTCACTATGACCAACTTTTTAAGAGGACTGGCAGCCTGGACAAAAGTTTTGAAGGTATGGGTTATACTTCAGCTTGAAGCTCCTTTTTTTTTCTTTTTTTTTTTTAACAATACTTCAGCTTGAAGCTCCTTTTCAGAGACTTAATGTTATTTCTTGAACTTCTTTCAGGGACCCCTAAAATCGCCAAACCAGAGAAGCCTATTGACAGTGAGGTACTACCTATGTCCTCATGAGTTACACTTCACAAATAAATAGCATTCTCATAATCATATCACTTTAATTCTATTGATTGGATTAATTCCTTTCTTGTGATTTTCTTCTAAGAAAATCTCATAATGGGTTCATTTATAACAGGGTCAGGGCGCCAGAGTTTCTGGTTTATTCGCTGGGACAAGGGACAAATGTGTAGGGTGCAAGAAAACTGTGTACCCAATTGAGAAGGTAATCTTCATGAAAGCAATCCTTAATTAGACATGTCCACAATGCCTATAAAAACATTTATTCCTGGAGATATTTTTGCATGTCCCAATGGGCTTCTATGGATAAGCATGTTCTCATGAATGAATGTATGCATTTTTTCTTGAGCAGTTTAGTAGTAGGATTCACAGAAACAACTTTTTATTTGGTATTTAAAAATAGTCACATATATTTCATATTTAAATCCCACCTTTTGAGAGTATAAAGTATATTTTAATTTTATCTTTTTTTCTATACATCAAAGTAAGCTTAAACTTTATATGTTCATACTTCTCATGATCATACACTTATAAAAAAAATATTAAATAATAATAAAAATACCCCTATAGCTGAAGGTATTTTACTAATTTTATTTATTTAAAATTATTTTTTAAAATTTTTGAAAAGGTGTGTGTTGGAGATAAGTATATGGAAATATCAATTTTGAGCTCAATCTCATTGTATAGAAAAAAAAAATACAAAATTAAAAATACACTAATGCTTTCAAACAGTGGGATTTGAGTGTAAAATATGATACATATGGGACTATGTATTCCTAAAATAAAACAGGATTTTTTTGCAAGTTTCCCTTTAATAAATGTGATCAATGTCCTTTGATAATTGTTTATCTTTCAGCATTTTAAAAAGTAAGAACAATTAAATTTATTCCTTTATCAATTATATATTTTATGAAGCACGGGCATGCATATAGATGTATTTATGCATATATGATAGGTATGTATGTAAGCATGTATATGTTTATATATGTTCACATGCGTATGCATTGGAAGAAGTACATTGCACATGTATCTGTATGTGCATGCATCAAGAGGTCGGCAACTTTTTATGCAGGTTGCAGTGGACGGCAGCGCATATCACAAGAGTTGCTTCAAATGTTGCCATGGTGGATGTGTGATTAGCCCATCCAATTACATTGCGCATGAGGGGAGGCTCTATTGCAAGCACCATCATTCCCAACTCTTCAAGGAGAAAGGGAATTACAGCCAGCTAGACAAGAGTGGCAATGAGAAGGGGGTGACTGAGGACACAATTAAGGTAGCATCAGAGTGATCAATGGATTGAAATGGTTGCTGATTTTCAGCTGCAATGTCAGTATTCTTCTCTTCTATTCCCTTATAATTCGAATATAAATATCATAGCATGGAGTATTGGAGATATGAAGTGAGAGAATAAACTATGGCATTATATGCCGACTTTTTGGCATGGATATCAGGTTTGTAATTTTGTACCGGTTCATGAAAGGAATGTGTTTTTATTTGCATAGAGATGATTAGGTCATGTTTGAGGTTGGTTTGTTTCATTCCCTGTTTAAGGGCAAGAATGAGAGGAGAGAGAGACAGAGTTATGAAGCTATGATTGTTTACTTGTGCATCGAGTTGGATATTGGATTTCCTGTTTATAGTTTTATAGTTTTTCATATTTCCTCCTTCAAATATATTTATGAGGAATGGATCAGAAACTCCACCTAAATTAACCTTACCCAAGATTATCAAAACATGAAGCCCTTTTCTGTTATCTTTCAAAAAAAAACACTGGTTATCAAAGCATGGAGCTTGCTTATACATATCAATCCATGTTAATCTGCAAGTCGGTTCATGCAGTTATCCTGACATGAAGGCGCTGTTATCCCGACATGAAGGCGCTTGTGGATACAAACAATGAGTCGCACATGCACAGCGAAAAAAGGGAAAAAGTTAAAAAAGTATGTTTAATCTGTAACTTCAATGTGCTAAATCATTGACAGCAAATAATGCATTGATTGAAATGTTGGGCAAATGATCAAAATGCCCCCTTGGCATTTCAAAACTTTCTCAAATGTTTAACCATAATAGCTCCCAAATTACAGATGGTTGCATAGCAGTCTTTGGGTCAAGGTGAAGAGATTTTATATTTGACAATTAAATTCAGTGAAATCTCCAAATCCATAAGTTATGAGATTGTACACAACTACCACAAGAAGCTTATTCTTTTGAATTGTTGGATGCAGTATTGGTACAAAAGTAGATCAAATTTTAAATAGCCCATCAAATGATACATCAAAATGCGTTTTAAAATTTATCCAAATAACTAGTTTGAATCTCAGGTGTATTTTGGTAAATTTCCCAAATCGAAATAAAAAATATTGAATATATTAAACTTTGCTGATTTTCCCTTCTTGCCCATGCATACATTGAACAAATCAGTTCCTAAAAAAAAAAAACAAATCCCTATTCAGAGTAAGGTATGTTATGTTGGGGTATAGCTTTGACATTAAGCTATTGACAGAGGGAGGAATCCATTGGAAATAGGAGAATAATATTGCATTTCTTGTTGCATACCAGTATCGCAGCTAAAACCATGAAACTCCAATTATGAATATATGTCATATAACAGATTAGAAGACAGAATCCCTCTTTCTCGTATACGTGCAAACACAATTTTTTTTTCTAATTAGTTATAAGGTAATGAATGTAATGTTTTTTGAAATTATATAACTCGAGCACAAAGTCAAATATTGACTCATTGATCGGGTGGTTAGTACCAATCAACGAGTTGGAACAACTTGGTACATATATATTTGGAACGAAAAGGAAATGGTCAAAATTTTAACAAGTTTCAAATCGAAAAAGCAAAGTTACTCTTTTGATATTACAGGGAATCAATCATTCGTATGATTTTTTGGCATAAAAAACTACCAAAATACATGTTGCTACTATTTTGGAATGATTAACAATCACCAAAGTAATGTTTGAACCTAATAATTCAAAGCTATGGTATCTCATAACCAAGGAAATGCTATTTTCAATTTCCAATCCCAATATTTATGAATTTTATGCCAAAGTTTGTTGTGGCCCAAAATAACCCCGCTCAGTACTTGAAGTGTTAGACCCGGTGGGGAGAGAAAACCTATGGTGGGGAAAGAACGAAGTTTCTTTGTTTTTATTTATTTATTATGAAAAAACCTCTTAAATGGAAAAAAGAGACTTTAACGTAAAATACGTAAAGATTAAAAATATTATTGAATTAAAAAAAAAATAGATACTTACATAGGCTCCTTCACTGGAATTGCTCATAGCATGTTTTCTTCTTTCTTCTTTTTTTCTCTTTTTTTTTTTTGGAATATTAACTTGTTCATAGCATACACCCACTACAACATATTTTTACAAACCCGCTTAAAAAGATTTTCAAGTGATTTAAAAATTGGTGACCCGATCCGGAATCGGGAATCACCATGATCGTCCTGGATCCGGTAAAAAACCGGGATTTGGTTGATTCAAGATAGTAAACTAGCTGATTTTTTCGCGGAACGGCCGATTTCGATGATTCTTCATTGAGTCCGACCGATTCTTCAATGGTTCCAACTGATTCTTCTCCGGGTCAAGCGAAAAAATAAAAAAAGAAGAAAAAGGAAAGAACAATGCTTTCTTACATTATTATTTTAAAAAAATTGAGACAAAATTACCAATGCCGCCTATTCTTCCGATCCGATCCACCGATTCCCCCCATCCGATACGGTATGGGTGTGATCGATTCAAATCACTGATCTATTTTTTTTTTAATTCCGAGATTTTCAATGAGATTTAGTTCGTTTCTACATAGAAAAGAGGAGTGAGGAATGCATATATATATATATATATATATATATATATAGGGAGAGAGAATCCGCCGTAACACTAGGCACCCACTTAGGCAGTGCCTCACTGCATTGCTACCTAAATCAGCACCTAGGGGCTTTCTTCTGCCCTAGATGCTGATGTACCTAAGCCCTTACCTGCCTAGGTGAGTTCCTAGGCACTCAAGCTGCCAACTTTTGGAACAATGGATTTTACTCCTACTTTCTCAGGCATAATACTCGAGGATTTTCCGAATCTTAAATTTTGGTGTCCAGCGGTCACTGTATCGGTATTTCCTAATAACAAATTTCAATCGTTTTTGGTAGTTCTGATTCAGCAGATCTAAGGGGCATATTCATCTTTGGACATGGTTTTTATGAGCACCCTATGTAATTTTTGTTTTTTTCATATTCATACATCTCTATGTATAATCTTTTTTTTTTTTATATTCATATATGTTGATGTCGGATGATCAATTAGAGGGTTTTTCAACATTAAAACAATCTTTTCGAATGGAATTTTGAGGTGCATCCTTAATTCTGCATTTTAAGATTGGGACCTTATATAAACTTTTTCCTTTTAAGAATATCTAATTTATTTACCATAGAGAGTATTGTCATTTGTTATGTAAAAATAAATAACTTTTAAAATATAAAAATGACATTTTTGGAAGAAAAATGGTTGAACATAGATTTTGTTGCAATGTGGGACTACCACTTTTTCACATCCATCCGGGACTAGGCAAGGGGACGCAAACATAAAATTGCGTCCCCTGACGCACTAAGGACTTGTCCTTCCTCTTTCGCTTAGGCTCTAGGTGCACATTCAACTTTTATTGAGGTTAATCTCTAGACTCTCTCACTCAAGATTGAAAAAATGGTGTTAGTTTACCAATGGAATTTGGATCTTGCTCAACATGGCATCAGTTTTAGCATTTATATTTCGAGCTCAAATTGAAGTGCTCAAACAGTTCAATTGAACACAATTTGTACCCCTTTCCCTCCAGTAGTCAGGATCATTAAAGGGGCAATTGAGAAAATGAAATAAAAAATGGCAAATAGGAATATATATGGTTCAAAATCGCAATCGTCGAATCTTACTCGCCGAGAATGATCATGCACACTGGGAAAGCCAAAATCACTCACCATAGGCGTACAAAGACAATTATCGCATTAAAATTGAAGGATGAACCATAGTCCAACACCTTCATTCAATTGCTCTTTGTTATCACTAGTAATCATTCTTTCCATAAACACAATGCATCATAAATCTTAGGAAACAATTTCTGTAGGAAAAAGAAGAGTTTAATTAATCTGTCGATTCCGCCCCCCCCCCCCACCCCCACCCCCTTCCTCTCTCTCTCTCTCTCTCTAGGTGGGTGCATGTAAAAGAAAGGAGAGTTATCCAGGACTGCCCTCAGCACTGTCTACATTGAACCCAAAGACTACACAGAAATATAGTGGTCAAAGGCGAATACCCTCGTTTATAAATTACAACAAATCTCCTTCTGCTCTTTGAGATCCAAGAGTCACAAGTTCTTGAAATGTTGATGTCAAAGAAGCCTTCATTTTGCTCTATCAGTTTATCAGTACAATCTCTCTCCAGCTTGGATTTCTGAGTTCATACCATTGTTTTGTCCTTCAGGGTTGAAACTTTTATCTTGTGTCAACATATGACATTAGACTTATAACTTGCAGAAGGGTTGAGGGGGCCCAAAAACACATTGCCCCAGTTTGTTAATCTTTGGGTTCCTCTGGCTCATTCCCATCTTTATTGGTCATATTTAGTTGTCTCCCTTTAATGGACTGGAAATCCACTGCAGAGGTGTATCCTCAGCTACTTATTGCAGTATTTCACAAGGAAAAAAAAAAAAGGATTTCAGCAGGGTTTCACTCTAGTCATTGAAGAGCACCATGAGAGAAAAGCAAAAGACTTGGATTGTGTGTTGACAGTGAAATGAGATGAAATTTGCAGATTAAGAGTACCCAAGCAGCACCCTTTTAGGGGGTGTTCCGAAACAACATTGACAGTCTCGCCCCTGAGAATATCCACTAAATTAGGGGTAGAAGGTCTTTGTGAAAAGCTGGGAGATGCAATTTCTTTGAGGCTGATAGCGAGTCCAGTTGATGTGTGATAGATTATTCAAAGGCAACTCATGAGACCACTAAAGGAAGACGACCAACTAATAAAATAAGGTGGGCAGCATTGCAAGCGTGTTCAGTAAAACGATATAGATGTCATAAATGAGATGGTTGAAGCAGTAATATCAGCTCACCATAATCTTAATATTGCCAACATGAAGCCAAGGTACTCAAGAGATGCAGAAGGTAAAGAAGTTTCACTCTCGGGGGGAACTTCCCACTCGGATGACGCAGCCGTGTACTTGTCTCAGCTTCTATGCAACTGGGGCAACAACTCGGTGTACGCATTCCATGCCAGAATCAACAAAATTTCTTACATAAAGATGATAAAGCACCCCTTTCTGTTTCCTTTTTTTCACTTTTTGATTTCATAAGAGGATTAAAAATATAAGAAAACAAGTTCTAATTTAAATAGATCCATCCTCAAGCCTCAAATCCCTACAAATGTACTTAAATGTTCTGAGCATTTCATTACATAAATTAGCTTCCATGGTATGTCACTTTTCACTTAACAAAAAATTTAGCAACCACTCTGCTTTAATAGATCCATTAGATAGGAATATATTTTCAAGGTATATGTCAATAAATTACTGTGAATAGTTAGAGGGAATACAGATGACACCCCAATATATTATATAATTAAATGACACGTACTTTCAATTTCTTGCCAAAATCTCATTGAAGAAGATAGACTTATCACCAAAAATACAAACACCACCACCCTGGAAGAGAACAAATTAAACATATTCACACGAGTAAGTAGCATGATGCCTATGAAGAAAATATCCATTAGGATGCCTACAAAATGATAAAGAGTAATGGTTTTGGTCTAAATCAGATGTACCAAGAGAAGAGAAGGGCAACCAATAAAGAGCTATCATAAAAGGGAATTTATCAGCAAGGGAAAAAAGACCCATAGTAGGTCCAAAATGTTTTCATCCCAAAAGAAAATAACGATGCGATCATAAAGATAAAGCTAGCACAACATATAGATAAGCCCAAAGCATTGCACTAAAAATCAACCACCTAACATGAATAACTTACATTGCACATACGACCAGTGATTGAGATGGATAATAGCCAGGAGACCATGACCGTACATGGCGAAGCAATGTGCTTCAACTCTTGAGTTGAAATGCCGTATTACTTCTGCTAGTGCTAAATAAGAAAACATAAAAATGAAGCAGCTATAATGCACAAGTCGAACCTAATATTATTATGTACAGAGATTCCATTTCTCGAGGAGAATGACCTGGGTTAGCTTCCTTCTTCCACCATATCCAGAAGGAGACCATCAAAAGCAAGATGCTTCAATTGTGTGATGTAATTATCTCGCAAAAAACCAAATCCCATTGTTCCATTAGCATACAACCAAACTCTTCCTTCAAAATCTCGAGGATGGGCAACACGATCAATGAGATCAGGCATGACCAGCGCGTAACTTGAATTGATATAAAGGATGCGAGAGACTACCTCATTCTCAGCAAAGGAAGGTGAATGCCCATGAGATTGGTGGGCACAGGTCTGGCCATGAACACGTTCAATATATATACCCTCTTCTTCCTGAGAGAGAGGTGACTCCAGAAATGTAGAATTTGAGGTCCAGAAAACTGGGGAACAGTAAGGTTGCACAGTGCTCCCTACCCTTCTACAAGCTATGCCTCCAATGTCATCATATGTCACAAGATAAAAGTTCAGTCCTGCACAATCAGATGTTCCCTAGAAGAAGAAGCAACAAAAGAAGTAATCAGAAACTAGACCAGGAAAAAGAACTCTGTGGACAACAACACCAAAAGAGATTGCAGGCTCTCGAATGCAAGTGACCAGAACGTTTTTTCAAGTGAACAGAACTTAGAAAGCACACTTCTTCCGAATTTCATCAACAAATATTATAAACAAAACTAACTCCAATACTCAATGGAAAGAGGATATCAGGTACTAGATCACTAGTTTACTTCTCTTTTCATTTTACAATATTCTTTTCTTTCTTTTTTCATGGTATGGAAAGAATTAGTTTAAGACAAAATACCACCATCAAACAACTAAAGGAGATTTTCAATAAAGATACCAAGGAGGTTATCACAGCAACAAACATCAGATGGTAATAACTAATATTCAATCCACCTGAATTTAAGCTCATTTCCCATAGAATAACAAATTTGGGTTTCTAAAAAACTCAATTAAGGATTGACTTAAAAGTGAAGCAAGAAATCTACATGAATTTAACCCCATTGCCAAGAAATAAGAAATTGGCTCTCATAATTTAGCATGAAATGACATAAAACAGCAAATGCAATATCAAGAAAGAAAAATTAAAAATCTCACCTTCCATAATCCTTGTAGAGGACGATCACGGGTAGGATAACAATCAACTATCTTTACGAAATGCTCAGCTTCCGATTTCCTTTGTCCCCTTCCAAATGACCTTTCCTTCTCCCTCCTCCTCTGCCTTCTCGAAGCCCGGTCCCCAACAGGGCTAGTCCTGTTAGCAAAATACTGATAAATCTCAGACTGCAAGTTATCAGGCAAGCTCCCCGATAGATCAGCAGTATCTTCATCACGCAAATTATTCCCACTAATATCATAAGAACTCATGCTTCGACAAACTCGCTTTTCTTCGCTTGGAGACCAACTGTGCCTAATAGACATGGCAGACGAAAAGGGAGTATAATTCTCTCTCCTCTCAATCACAATGTGATTGTTACCCACAAAGTTAACATTTATCATGGATAACCCAAGAACCTCTTCGATGGCTTCTGGGTCCAAGTTCTTATTAGAATTCAGAAAGGACTGAGCTTTTTCTCTCTTAAAACTCCCATCTTCAGAAAACCCTAATTCCTGTTCAGGCTTGCAGGCATCTTGTACATGGCCATACTCTGGATCGAAAAAATTCAAAGGTGAGGCATCATGAGAAAGACCCAACCAGAGAAAGGGGACCTTTCGAACCTCGTAAGAGCAACACCCGAGAGATGAAACCCTAGAACCAGTGAGACAAAACGCACCCCAATCGAACATAACCAGAGGGCCGTTTTCTTGGCCAATTATCCTCCAAAACCCAATAAGGTTCTCCCATTTCTCTAGGGTTTTGTAGAGAAGTTTATAGCTAATCTGGCCATCGCCCCATTTCTCAATTTGGGTTTTTGATCCCCATCTCCTATGGCAAATCGCTCGCCACGTTATGGCTTCATCAGAGCACAGAGTAGAGAAGCGTTTACAGGCACAGGAGAAAGAGAAGATATCGGCAGGTGAGAGAATTGAGAGAATACATGCCTGGACGTCAGATGGGAAAGCGCAAAAGTCTAGGCTTGATGGTTTTGGATCGTTTTGTCGAGAGCTGGATGCATTTCTGAACGTTTCTTCCATCTTCTGGGAACCTCCTCTCTCTCTTCAAGGGGTTCTCTTTTTCCTCTCTTTCTCTCTTGTGTAAGCTGGGAATGAGCTCGGAATCTCTCCCTCTTGGTAAAGGATGGCAGGGATCTCTCTCCTCTCTCTTCTCTCTCTTCCTCTCTCTTCTCTCTCTTTCTCTGTAATTTTTTGGCGAATATTTCCTGGAATCCCCGTGGATGCCAGTGAGCACGTGTATGAGAAGATACCGTGTCCAAACCCATATCTAAAACGTCCGCGGCTGTGACCCTAAAATGTAAACCGTAAATCGACTAAATTGAAACTTTCAAAAAACAAATCCAACCGTGTGACATACTCAAGCTATCAAATTTTTCATCGGACGGTTGTGAATAATTGTGACCCCTTTGTACCAAATAATAAATGGCTTCATTGTGTAAAATACCTATTTTTTAACTCATGGATCTCACATCCGATAATTAAGAGTAATTATAGGCTCTTTAAACAAAAATAAGTAGCCTTTTATTATACAATCCCCCTCCAAAAATCTTGTCGCATAATCCCCTTTCAATAGTTCATGGAAATATATTCAAATATATCATTTTTTTTATAAAAGTCACACTCATTAACAACCATTAGATGTGAAATAAGGATGTTGAAGGTGTGTGATTGATGGGACAAGAATTTCAAACTAAAATTTTTCAAATTGTGATACACTTGAAGCTATCGAATTTCACATCAAGGTGATTGTAACCTCTTTACACAAAAATAAATGTAGCATGTAATATTTGTTGTTTGGTGCTTCACTCTTTCTTTGTTTTACTTCAAAATTGTTTTATTTGGTGCTTTAGTTCCAAATTGTACAAAATGGAAATCTAGGTCTCTTCTTGTTCTAAAATTTTAAAGCAAATAATATAAAATGAACTATCATAATATAGAGTAACAGAAAAACAATTCTAGGCAAAAAAAAAAAAAATCAAGTAAAATAAACTCGAGTGAGTAATAACCTACTTGATATGACTTGGGGACAAAGAAAACTGAAAATTGAAATTTCCATTCAATTTTTTTGGCTCCTGCATATCAAAATACAACTGTCCCAAACATTTTTATCTCCATGTTCTCGCTCTACTTCACCCTTTCTATTACACATGTTTAGAGCTTAACTTGTCAGACCTTATGAAATTAAAGTAGCTCTGGGGATGATGGTGCTCGAAAGGAGGAAGAAGATGGTGAAAGTGGGATTCCTTTTATAGATTTTGACGTGAAGTTTCTTGCTGATTCTTTTAAAAATGCTACAAAAGTTGTGGTGGGATCTTTTTCTCCTCTCTTAGATGATGTGTTTCGTTTGGGAGAGTGGGCTAATAGGGCTCGGGCTCGGGGATTATCTTACATTCCTCAGGTGAAAACGTTGGGGGCTTCTCAGGTAGCTTTTGCCCGAACTCTGAGGGTGGTCCGTCAGAGAATGTTCAGAGTACGTAAGAGAACTCTTCAACTCCACTCCGAACTTCTGGCATCCAAGTGTAAATGTTGCACATGCCGCAATGAAAGAGACTTGGATTCGTCTGTGGGGCATACTTCTTCATGTTTGGAATCTTGGAGTGATCCAAAAGCTAGCCAATTGTTGCGGAATCTTTTCTAAACAGGACTGGGATCTCTTTCTAAACAGGACTGGGATCTCTTAAAGAGCGTTTAAATGAGGTTTGTCAAACTTGGTTTTTCTTAACAGATTTTATCCGGTTCATAAAAAGTTAAGATTCAGGATGATTTTGTCATCAAAGTGACCTTTGAGGGTCAAGTAGCCAGTCCCCACGAAGGATCTTAAAGCTGCTTTGAAACCTGAAATAACAATTGAGTCTGTGATCGAGTTGCCTCATGAGGGGTGGACATTGGTGCAATCAAAAAGTTCTAAGAAGAAGAGGATAAAGAACCATGATGGGGTTGGAGTAGTACAGAATTTCTGTAACATCAATGGTGAAAATGCTCAAGCATAACCATTCCAATCAAAGGCAAGTCAAATTCGAATTTAAGAAGGTTAGTACCCTCTAACTTGCCGTGCAAAATTCAAAAATCAAAAAAAGATTTGGGTAGAGAAAAATAAGACGACTTGGGGATATGGATGGATTAAATTTGTCATATTTGGGATTTAGTTGAAAATCGTATTGTTGCTAAGGAGATCATCGAAGATGAAAATAAGGTCAGTTGTGGGGTTTCCGCAAATATCTTGGGGGTGGATTCTAGATTTGGAAAGTACGTTAAACGGGATGTTTTCGTGGTAGAGAAGATAGGCTCTTTGCCGTATATAGTTAGAAGCAGGAATTTCAGTCATTGTTGGTATTTGTGAGCAAGCTTACTTTGCTTTATTTGTTCATATCAGCAGTTTTCACAATGTTCCCTGCAAGATCGTTGTCTTTCAGGGTTGCAGCTAAGAAGAAGAACAGGCTAGATCGGCCCTCATCCAGATGTGGTGCACCTCAATGAAGATGAGGAGCAGGTTCTGCTGGATGATCAGATCCCTGGTCATGAGATAGCCTTAGAAGTGGTGATGAGGAGCTGATGGTTGAAATAGGTGGAATTGATATTCCCCACGAACTGGCTCTCTGTCTTGGTCACGTAGCTGAAGACCAGGTACCTGAGGTTCCCTTTCCTGTGCCCGAGCCAGTAGATGGTGGAGGAATGCCTTTCGATGAAGAAGAGGTCGGCAACCCAGGTGATGGTATGGGGGATTTGGGGCTTGTGCAGCCACCTTTAATTGGTGACTGGAATGCTATGCACAAACATGATTTGGAAGACAGAGTGGCTGAATGTGGGTGGTAGATTTTAGAGGATATGGGGGCTAACTTCGATGTCCCATTGGAGTGGTCTTAAAGCTATTAAAGAAAATCTTTAGAAATAGAAGGCAAGCCAATCTAAGTTGGCAAGCATTTCCAAGCAGAAGGAGATCAATTCAGTGGCCAGCAAAAATGGGAAAGGCAAGGATAAGGTGGCTCCTAAGCCAACTCGGTCATCAGATAGGATGGATGTGAATGTAGGCCCGAGGGTCTTTGCTAGAGCCAACTGCGATGATGATTCAGGCTAGGTATTCGTGATCAGCGATGATGAAATGACAATGATGGACAGCTAATTGCCGACTCGAGGGGAGCCACCAATAATGGCTGCCTGAATATTTGTGGTTAATGAAATTGTCACTTGGAATGTTCGTGGACTAGGAGAGGTTAGGAGAAAGCAAGAACTTCATTTTTTGGTAGCAAAACATAAGCGAGATATTGTGATGCTACAAGAAATGAAGCAACCTAGTCCAACGGTTAGGTCAATAAGGGAAGTGTGGGGTTTAGGTCAGGTCCAGCTTTGTGGGGTAGGTTCTGTAGGAGCATCTGGGGTTTTATGGACTTTTGGGATCCTTCAGTGTTGAAATGCTCGAATGTTATCCAAATGTTTTGAGGTTTAAGGACATTTTTTCTTCTTTTCGTTGCTTTCAAATGTTTATGGACCAAATTTAATGGTTTTGAAGTAAGACTTTTTGGCTGAAATTATGAATGTGTTGAATGATGTTTCTCTAACTATTTGTGTGGGAAGGGATTTTAACTTTATTCATAGGCCAGATGAAATGCGCATATTCAATGACTTTATAATGTCAAGTAGCTTGATTGAATTGCCGACGAATGAAAACTTATATACATGATCCAATAACAACACAAGTAATCTTGGTGTCGGGTGATTGGGAAAGGAAGTTTCCTTTAGTTGGTATTAGATCACTACCTAAATTATCCTCTGATTATATTCCATTATCTATAAACACATCTAATGAGGTTTTGGGACCTAGACCTTTTAGATTTGAAAAATGCTTAGGTTGATGGAAAATGAGGTGAAGGATATCATTAAATGTACTTGGTGTATGCAATTGTTCAAGGGTGATGCGGATATGAAGTGCATAAGAAATGTTAAATGTGAAACAACATTTAATTGATTGGAAGAAGCCTTCAAGATTTGATATTCGGGATAAGATGGATCTTGTCATCTAGGAAATTGAACATCTAGATGATGATATTCAAGTGAATGGGGTAGTCATAGAACAAATTTTGGCACATCTCTCACAAGTATACTGGTGACATAGATCAAGGGTAAAAAGGTTAAAAGATGGTGACTTGAACACAAGATATTTTCATGCAATTGCAAATTCAAGGAGACAAAATGATCTCGGTTATTACTTTTCCAAATAATGGAGAGGATGATGTAGAGGGGTGGGAAAGTAAGTTTGCAAGTCACTTTGAAAAGGCCTTCACAAGTGAAGTTCTCTAGGGTGCCTTTTAAAAGTCTGGAAAACTTTAAGGCAAAGGAACTTAAAAACCCGGTTACTATGGAGGAGGCTCTAGGGTGCCTTTTAAAAGACTGGAAAACTTAAAGGTAAAGGAACTTGAAAACCCGGTTACTATGGAGGAAGCAAAGTTAGCAGTTTTCTTGCTCGTAGGTGATAAAGCACCTGAGCCTCATGGATTTCCAATGGGGTTCTTTTAAAGTTTTTGGGAATTGCTTAAATGGGATGTCTTTACCATGGTGCGAGAATTTTGGGAGCGTAGGGTTATTGATAACAGTATAAACTCAACGTTATTGTTTTAGTTCCTATAAAGGATGCAATTGTGGATCTCAATTATTTAAGACCCATTAGTCGTCTTAGGAGTTTATATAAAATAGTTGCAAAAGTTCTTACAAATAGGTTAATAGTTGGGCCTCAATCAGCATTCATCAAAGACAAAATCATCACTACTAATGTGATGCGTATTGCTCAAGAATGTTCACATTCAAGAGCTATAAGTAGGAATTCGGGTATCCTTATGAAATTAGACCTAGAGAAGACGTATGATAGGGTAGAATGGAAAATACTTGTTGAGATAATGAGGACTATGGGGTTCGGTAGTAGTTGGATGGGGTAGATTACGGCCTGCCTATTTTCAGCACACTTTTCGATCTTGGTTAATGGATGCCCAAAAGGAATTTTTAAGGCATCAAGGGGTTTGAGACGGGGGGATCCATTATCACCCATTCTATTCACTTTTGTGGCAGAAGGTTTAAGTCCTATGATAAAAAAATGTTGTGGGAAAGGGATGGTTTAATGGCTTTCAAATTGCTGAGAATGGTCCAACCATATCGCACCTTTAATATGTAAATGATACGCTAATATTTTACGGTGCGAAGGTTAACCAGGTACGCTCAATTTCGAATTTTTTAAGATGTTGTAAATTTACTTTGGGCTTAAAAGTTAACTTCTCTAAAACAACTATGGTTGATGTTGGATGTGGGGAATCCTTGGTACAAGAAATGGCAAGAGAGGTTGGTTGTTCTGTAGAATATTTTCCTTTGAAGTACCTTGGTATTGCCATTTCTGATACCAAATTACCTAGGTCCATCTGGGACCCAGTGTTAAAAAGTATTCATGTAAACCTTGACCTATGGAAATCTAAGGTCTTATCACCAGGAGGTAAGGCTACATTGATTAAATCCTCATTAGCTACTATGCTTGTAGTCCTTATGTCTTTATTGCATATGCCTTCACCAGCGATCAAAGAGATAGAAAAGCTAATGAGAAAGTTCCTATAGGTTACTTTGGATGAAGGAAAGAAATATCATTTAGTGAGTTGGAAAAAAGTTTATATCCCAAAATATGAAAGGACTTTGGGCATAAGAAATGTTAAATGCGTTAATCAAGCCTTATTAGCTAAATGGTGATGGAGAACCTTAGGAGATGAGAACCAGTTATGAAAGGAAGTTCTTATGACTAAATATGGGGTGGACAACAGTGGTTTTATCAAAAAAGGAAGAGGTGGAAGATTCTAATGTATATATGTAAATAGAGAAATAATGCTGAGAAATACTAGATGGATTGTGGGTAATGGAGCTTCAATTGATTTTTGATTATCAAGGGATGGGAGATGGCTTCTTGAAGAACATGTATAAAGATCGATATGATAGAAGTGGGTTTCAGCATATTAAGGTTAATGAAATCTTTGGTCGAAGTGGAAGTGGAGGAAGTTGGAACTTACCATTTGCATATAATAGATTCCCCAATGTGGTTATTTCACAATTCATGAATTTGATGAAAGGACTACAGGAGGTGTGTGTGTCTAAGGAGGTGAGAGACGAAATGTTATGGGAACTCTCAAATGATGGAGTTTTCTCGGTAAAAACAACATATCAGCTTATATTTAATGATAGAGTTCGATGGTCCCGTCCTGAGCTCAATAAAATTTGGAAATGGAAAATTCCACATAAAATGCAGATGTTTGTTTGGATCTTATCTCAGAACAAAGTGTTAACAATTGATAACTTAAGAATTAGAGGTAAGATGATTGTAGATATCTATATTTTGCATTGTCCAGTGGCCAACCTTTTGTGGCAAAATGGGCTTTTAGCCTTGTGGGAGTTGTGATACCTTTGCCTGTGTCACATAAGGAGATAATTACATGTCTGAGCTACCAAATATGCCAAAAAAATGAACAATTATCTAGAATATTTTTAAGGGCTCGCTGGTTTGGGAAATTTGGATGGAAAGAAAATGTCACACATTTGATGGGATTAGTTATGATATGCCTAGAGTTAAGGAGAGAATAATTCATAATTCTTGTATTCAAATACAAAAAATATGGCATATCAAAAGTAGATGTGATTCAAAATTTACATATTATTGTTTTTCAAAATGCCCTAAATCTACCAATTCAAGGTGCTGTGAAATTGAATTTTGATGAAAGTTCATCTGAAAATTTAAGACCAGCAAGAATTGAAAGGGTAATCACAAACTCAAGGACACAAAATTGTTGTACAATCTCTGGTCCCTGTGGAGAAGCTTCGGCCAACAAGGCAGAGACGATAACATTGCTACAGCGCGTAAAAACCCTTAGAGATAAATATGCTGGTTTAAATTGGGTGGTGGAAAGGGATTCTTTAAATATAATTAATTGGAACAATTGGATTGGAAGGCCACTATAGAATCTGAAAGTTTCATGCAATGAAATATGGGATATTTGTCGAAATCGTAAGATTGTTTTTGAACATGCTTATCTATCGGGAAGCTAATAATAGGGTGATGCTAATGATAGGGCAGATAACTTCGCTGAAAGGGAAATCTATATACAAGATATTTCTTTTACTTTTTATTCATGGTAATTCTCTTGTAAGCAGGTTTAAGCAATAAGATTTTGTACTCTTGTCAAAAATAAAAAATGAAATACCATATATTCGAAATTCAATATATTTTTTTAAAGTGTTCATAAAATTGGGATCAATATTAAAATGAAAAAATTCGGTGCTTCAACCAATTCGGAGAAGACTTTGGACTTTTTTACAAAAATTCATGTATATAAATTATATATTTATATATATAAATAATAAGAAAATTTAAAATAAAAATGTCCAAAAAAAATAAATAAATAAATTTTTATATAGATATTTCTTTGCTTTGGCTGAAAAAGCCGAAGCTTTGACCGAATCAACCCAAAGCAAACCTGAATCTAACCAAAACGGTCTGAAGCAGCTCGAACCAACAACACCAAGTTTCGCTTTGTTTCTATCTAGGCCTAAAATTTGAAGGCTTCAGCCGAAGTGAAGCGATTTTGACAACACTCATTGGGATAGCTTTTGGTCTATTAGTAAGAGCAAATAGGAATGATTTCATGCAACGATTTTATAGTAATATAATGAAATTACATTTCTAGATACCACGTTTGTTGCACCAAAAATTGCACATACCCTCTTCATCCTGATAGTTATTTTAAAAAAAAAAAAATCAATTTGCATCCTAGATATGGTTAAAATGAATCCTTCCAACAATGAATCTAGATCATCCATTTGATGAATTTCAAGATCTAAGCTTTTTTTAACTCAAAATCATTTTTTCCTTTTTCAATATTGTTCATCGAATAATAACAAATTTATCTAAACGTTTTAAAATGAGAAGAAATCCTTCTAAGGCTTAGATATAATCATCTTAACAAAATGAAGAGCTTATGTTAATTAGGCTAAAAAAATTCTTTTTAGAATGTGCTTTCAAATTTTATTTTATTTTGTGATTGTTCATTGGAATAAAAAAAGTGTATATTTAAAAATTGAGGTCAAACAAATGGCCCTAACATTACATTATATGACTAGACTATTGTTGCATGAAACGTAATGTACATGGTCGCATGTTGACACGGAAATCAGAAAATCGAAAATACATTAAAAAGAAATAAATACAGAAATGAACTAGAGACATTTTCACAACCAGAAGTGCACATTCAAGACACCATAAATTACATCAAAAGCCCTAAAAACAATCATCTGAAATCAGCTTCTTGTTCTGGTAACCTTCTAACTATCTCATCCTTTTGAAGTTGGGTGGCCATTAACAGAAGCTCAACCAGCTCTAAACCAACAGCCGTTATAGAGTCTAATTTCTCGGTTTTGAGGTCTCGTGAGAGCTCAGGTTGGTCCTCAAAAGGCAGTGGATCAGTCTCTGATGACCAGCTCAACGGAAGGGAGCTCCCAAGAGCTGTTTTCAAATGGTTTGCCTCTACAACAATACCATCCAATGTTTCTACGGTACTTTTGGCATGTGTTGTAGTTCTCGCAATGTCTTTGGCCTGCAATTGTATGAATTTTAAGTAATACAATATAATCTTTAGCAAGCCGAAACTACCGAGGTATCCCAAGAACACTAAAGAAGCGCAATGCTACATTCTCCCGAGGGAATCGCATTACCTGCACAAGGGCTAGGCGAAGCCGATGAATAGAAGATGTGAGATGTTCCAGGCTTGCCATGCCCTCTTGAAGGGTTGCATTCTCAATCTTCAATCTGCAACACAGGCCAGAAAAGGAATAGCATCAGAAAATTACATGCTCTCAACAGTCTGCTATCATCTTTTCAAAACCGTCCAAAAACATAAAGAAGCAAATTGGGGGACAATTGAGGAATAACTAAATATCAAACTAAGTCTGGAGATATCAATCCAATCAACTTCTTTATAAATGAAAAAAAAAAAACAAAAGAGTCCCCAAAGACACGTAACAAAAAGAAAGGATAAAGAGGAAACAACCTTGAGTATACACACCTCTTTATAAATTCAATCCAAAAGGAGATGATTTGAATTAAAAAGAATAAGATTTCCAGAGGATATGAACATGGAAATACAGGAAGCATTAAATAAATAAATAAATAAATAAAATAATGCGGATTTTTGGCAATACTAATTGAGACCTATTGTCAGCTAAAGAGACATTGTCAGCTAACATTTTGCAAGCAAAACAGAGAATGGCTTACTTGTTCCATCCTTATCATATCAATGTATGAGAGTGGCATTTTCCATCTACAAAGCAAGTTCACAAGCAAATGAGGTGGTTTGTAAATCCACAGGAAAGTGCTCTTGAGCCAATTCGCCAAGGCTCATGCATACTCGTGAATTTGGAGTGGCATATGAGACCCTCAGAAAGAGCAGTTAACAATGTAACTTGTGTTTCTTTGTTTTTTGTATTGTTTGTTAACCATGTAAATTTCTTTCAGTCAGCATTTAACCATGTCACTATTTTCCAGCAAGCTGTGAAGTTGTACTTTAAATAGCTTTGTAACGCATTTTTACCTTGCGATATCGACAGCATTTTTAGGGGTGCGGGTGCTGCCATCATCATTCTTGAAAACATTAGCTTGATTTCCATGAATATCTACTTCACCCATCCAGCGCTTCAGATATGTTCTCTTAAGCAAGCTCTTTAATCTTCCATCTCTTTCATGAGCAATGATGTTTTTTACACCCGGCCAACCAAAAGGATGATATTGTTTTGTCCCATGGCCGATAGTCCTGTAACATTTGTGATAAAAACACACTAAGTGCATTATATGCTTTTTGATAAACAAACCATATTCAGTCAGACTCGAAATTAAAAAAAAAATTACATTGTTCAAATATACCAAGTACTGATACCAGTAAAAGTAAACTACAAATCCTAACATCTTTCTCACAATGAGATTTATGAAATGGTTCCGGACAAACTTTGAACCTTGATACCTGACAGTAGATGCTTTTTCAAAGAAGGATAGACGTTGAGAATCAGTTGGTACTTAATAGTGAGCATTCAAAGGCCTACTAGCATTCGAATAATAGGAATGATGCACAGAAAGAAGACATTATTGCACAGAATATTTTTCAAGCATTCTAGGATTCAAGACCTCAAGTTGTTTTTCAGTTGAATGGATACGATAATTGGCCAAAAGTTCTCCTAATCAGGGCATTTTTGTTCAATATATGATCAAAGATATGGGAACTTATGGCCTCACTTAGGATATGGTCCCTGATAGAGCAGAATGGCAGACCACGATTCGTCTAGCCAACCCCAAAGAGTTTGAGAAAAGGCTTTGAAGATGATGATGATGGTATGATCAAATCAAGGTAGAACAGCATAAATGATCCAGTATCAGGTCCACAGTGACAAAATTGTAATCATTGTACAGTTCTTTTTTTTTGTAATATAGCATATTATTGTGAGCTTATACAACAAAAGAGAGACCTCCAAACACATGCCCACAAGGGCAACTCACAAGAGAATGGTTTCACACAGTGCTTGAAAACACAATGACTGCAGCATGGGATCGTCTGAGTCACTTGGAATTAGACCCCTGCCAGTTTTGGAGGGTCCCAAATTGTTAGTCTCAGGACCCAGGTAAAGAACAGGCTTGGTACCCGTAGTGACCCGGCTGATTCTTGGTCGAACTTGGCTGAGTTCCCCACCCTGGTTGAGTCGACCTGAACTCACAGTGTCCAACCTTTTCTTTCTTTTTCTTTCTTTTTTTTTTTTGGTACTTCATTTTGGCCAAAAAACTTGGCATATTCAGCCAATTGGAAATTTTAAGCCCCAAAGTTTCATCTCGAGGATCATATTTTATTCCTCGATCAAATTGATAAATATGATTTGCAAAAGACCGACCAAAGTCGCAAGTTAAAGATATCATGAAAACCAAATTTCAAGTTACAAAAAAGCTTCAGCAAACATCACATCTTGTTGATCCGAAGCATAACCCCAAATAGTTCAAGCGAAAGGCTTAAAAAGGGTAAGGGCTGGGCCCAAAAGGACATGGGTTGAAGTAGTAAAAAAAGATATGTGGACCTATGATCTCACTAAGAGTATGATCACTAATAGAGCAGAATGGCGGACCAAAATTCGTGTAGCCGACCCCAATTAGTTGGGAAAAAAGGCTTTGAAGATGATGAAGTAGGGGAGAGTATATGTTGAGAATGGGAAGACCATTACTAAATTCATATACAACCCCTCATAGATCCTAGCTTCGATAAGGCAGCTCAGAGGGGAGAGAGCTGATTAGGCTACCATCACATGATTAATTCGTTCTCGTCATCAATTCGATATTGAGGTGCAATTAGGGCTTAAAAAGATGGTTGCTTCAGAGCAATTGGTAAATGCCCATTTATTAAGGACCAATGCCACAAGGGAAGTTAAAGAGATAATGGATAGCCAAGCTCTGGGGTAGTTGCAAATAGAACATAGGAGCTACAAATCCTCTACCAGCAATTTTCAAGATGGCAAATTCCAATATAAAGCCCATTATGGGGTTCTTGCATGAAATAATTGATCAAGCAAAGCAGATCCTTGAAGCCATATATATTATCCATCTAAAGTATGTGAGACAATCGATGACTGATGAAATAACTCGTTGCACTGACCCATACATGTATTGTGTAAACGGTTTTGACATTTAATTTGGATTTTGTAATTTCAAATATGGTTTGCGATTGATGAGGTTTCATGTAATCAAACATGGGATCTTGTTTTAAATGGATGTGCCATCTAGATTTTTTTCTTAACCCACATATACTTCTATCCCCCAATACAATCAACTCATCACGAGATCAGGGAGGAGGTGAAACAACACACAGATATTTCTGAGAGATGGAAGGAAGCACATTGAAGCTCTTGAGGAGGTAAGAAACCATTTTTTGTGAAGTTTCCCTAGCTTAAGGCATTTATGATTGGGTGATCCAAATTTTAGAATCATGAAACCTCGACTTTTTTCTTAGCTTTCTCCATATATGGATGCACGTGGGAATTCACAACAAACCTTGCTAGGAAATCCCACACTTAGCTGGATCTAGGTGAGTTCTCAAGTTCCCAAGGAACTATTCATTCCTTTATTGTTGTTCTACACCTTTCTTACGAGTACTTCTTCCTTTTTCAGCGTAGTGGTGGGAACTACATGGTAATGGAGTTTGCTACCAACGAAATATTGTGATCAAATGGTCAGCAAAACATGTTACTCTACAGGTGAGAGTGAATCTGGAATAATTTCTAGAGGTTCACACAAGCTGGTCTACATCTACTACAACTTGAACCTCTGAAAGCTGATGCTGAGGAGAGAAATTAAGGACAAAGACCCTTTTAACTTGAATCACATATTCCTAGAGGATCCAACTATGGAGTGGTTGGTGGAAGTGGAGGAGCCACTTCTCAATCATAGGCTACTAGAAGAAGAGTTGGGCCTCATGGAAGAGGAAGACGAGGACGGTGGAACCTAAGAGGCATGAGTTTGGAGGAGGTGCACAAGTTGATGAGCAAGGGTAAGGTGGAGGTGAAGATGGATGACAATGATGAGGCCACCGAACCATACAAAGGGCCTTAAGAGTGAGCACGAGCAGTGAGGTGGGGGAGCACAAGGCTAGAGTAGCCCTGCTGATTTTGGGTTAGGAAGGCTGGGCTACCCAAGTTCCTAGTTGAGAGAGTCATTCTATAGAGATAGTCAGGATGACCATGATCAAGATAACTATGAGCCTCCCTACCATTCATATTAGCTGTAGACTGAGTACCTTGACATGTATATTTCTAATTTTAATTGCTCCTATGAAAATTATTACTGTTATGTACTCCAATATGGACCATTGAATGAAGAACTCGCACTCTGACAATTAGAATCCCCTGTTCTATGAATTTTCTATTTTTTCTTAGAATATAAATAATATTGTTCTGAATTTTTTTCATTTCATCATATTCTACATTTTCTGTAACTATTAATAGATTATTACAATTTTTCATACTTTATGGGCTGACTCAGCCAGGCCATGCCCAAGCCCAAGACTTTAAACACTTCATGAAAGCATCGAAGTTTTCTTATATAAACATTTCAAGTAAACCTCAACATTTCAGGAAATTTAAAAACTAAAAATAATAAGAAACAACTTCTCGTAAATCAAACTTCAAAGAGTTTCATCCCACCATATTTTATCCATCATAAGTGGTTTTCTGGTTACAAAAATTGTCAGCAGTGAAAGCATTTTATTCTCACTTCCTGTTGACATAAAATATCACTTCATTTTAGGTATTCAATACAAAGGAAATTGATTAAGTGAATCTAATAGACATAAAACCAAAAATCATTTAAGAGAGTATTGAAGGGAAAATAAAGCATCATTTATTCTATTTTCTAATTCAGGTCAAAGAAATGCATACGCTTGCAACATTTGGTGCTCTTGTCTCAGTTGCGCCAATTCCATAAGAGCCTCCACCTTTTCATTTGTAACCTATACAACAAATGACAATAATATAACATAATGTAATCACAGGGAGAAGCATGATCTGCTCCATATAAAACTTAATATGCAAAGTTAAACAAGCCCGCAAGAATTACTTGATATAACATCTTCTGGAGTTCCCCTAACTTCTTCTCAAGAGCAGCATTGACATTCTTCTCTAATAAATGTCTCTCTTCCTCTTGTGATAGGAGTAAAAGTGTAGCAACCTGTAGAAGAGCCGATAAAATAGTTGAATCAACATTCAACATAGACCTTTAAGCACTAAATAGACCATCTAAACAATCAACAGAATTAATAATGAAAACTAGGTTATTTGATAATTTCTGGATTTGTTAGATTCAATCATAAGATTGAGATCGCACAGGCATTTATTATTTACACAGACAAACAGAGAAAAGAAAACAACCTTCTCTTGCAAAGCTTGAGCAAGGGCACTTGAGATGTCATCCTTCCCTTCTACATAAAATCTTGGTGAAGCAGAACTGTCACTTTCCTGAAACAGAATCAGGATTTCAGCTTATATTGAAGTTCTCAAAAATATTATAAATATTAGACCTCTATTTGAATTGCATATTGATGATTGATTATATGGAAATATGGGAAGCTTATAAATTTGAACGCCTTAGTCTCCTATCATCACTGCAGGCTCAAATCCCATTCTCACAAAAGAAAAGCTACTTTTGTAGGTCAAATGATCAGAGAACATCTTCTGTGTTCTACGTAAGATATATGAAGATGGCAGCTATAATAAGCTTAATAGGAAGGCCCTAATGACTTAGAATATTAGATGATGAAACTTTTAATATTCTTTTGCCATTTTCATCATAAATATCATCGTTAAATAAGTTCAACATGCTTCATTTACTGCTTGTCTCAAGCACCTGATTTACAATCCCTCTAATGAAAATAAAGCATAAACTGACAGTTTCTTATCAAAAATTTCCTAAAAGAGCAAGTCAAGTCTTTTGAGATTTAGGAAGCAAACCTCCATTACATTGCTGGGATCAACATAACTAGTAATATGGACATCTCGGCATTCAATATCATCAGTCTGTCCATCATTTCTCTGAAGTTCTCCAGCCCCATTTATCATGCAAAGTTTGGTTGTCCTTTTGAAAAAATCTTCCACCAGTGTTTTCAAGTGAATCTTTTCTTGTTCCAATAAACTTATAATTTCGCCTCTACTCTGGACATGAAAATGATGCAACATTGATAATCCTTTCCTTGTTCTCTCCTCCAAAAGAGCCTGTGTTTCATACAAATTACATACATATTGACCAAGAAACACAAGCAAAAAAGGCATAAACTTGCTTGAAGATATTTACATTCTTACACGTTTTTCTTCGAGCAAGGACATACTCCTCCTTAGTGTTTCTTCAGATTTGCATCTCTGCGTGAAAAAGACAAGAATTTTATCTCTGTTACTGCCATCAAAGTTAACAATTACACTCTTGACACTCTCAAATTGAATCCACAATTTCCCTCGACAATGTGCATGAGTATACCTCCTGCTGTTCTTTCTTAAAATTCGCCAATGAGTCTCTCAATGTTTTTAATTCTTCTTCAAGAGAAGCCTGCACATAAATACAGAGTCAGAATAACTAAACAACGTTGAACAAACAGCGACTTTGCTCGGGACTCAGCTGAGTCACATGGGGGAGGAGAGAAGAAGAGAGAGGGGGGGGGAGGGGCTTGGGTTGTTTTGGGGGGTAGGGTAGGGTAGCTGGGAGTCTACGGTTCTAGAAGCTCCCAAACTGGGAGGCTATCATATAATATATATATATATATTAACAGTATATAGTTTATAAATATGGGTTTTGTTAGGCTACACTACTTGGTGGTGTATACCCTTAAAATCCAACATTTTTAGATACCCTTATCCTATAGTGTAGTAACTTTTTGTCTAGGGGTATTTTAAGTAATTAGACAAGGGTAAAGTAGAAAATCCTAATAGAAATAAAAACATTTATTAACAATAATGGACAATGACATCACCAATATGGTGTGTGACATCACCCACAAGATGCATTAATTGTTTTTTAACTACTAATAGAATGCCACTATTTTCTTATATAAATATCCCTTCAACCCCTTCTAAATGACCAAAAATGCCCCTACTTGAAAAAATTTGTATTACAATTCAAGGGTATTTAAGTGTCCAAAATGTTGAGGACTTTAAGGGTCTACACCACCGAGTAGTGTAGCCTAACAAAACCCTATAAATATATGTTAATAATATATATTATATATTTTATAAATTATATACAATATCTGATCCAGCCAAGTATATACAATTAAAATTTCTCTTTGTTTTTTTTTTATTCATACCAGCTAGAACACTTACAAGTATCTAACAAGACAACTTTATCCATAAAATACACCCTAATATGACCTAGGATCTTCACTTGGCTATATCACATAGCCAAGTATATTCAGCTAAAAAATTTATACATTATATATAACTGTATATTCTTGGCTAGAAACGAAAAAGGATTGCACATTGCAAGACTATGAGCATCGAGTCATTTTGGCATGAGACTTGCTATAGTACCTCATGGCACAGGAATGAGCATGTTGAGACAATGAGTGTTATACGTATTTTGTTTGAGTGGGAGTTGTTGCAATCCCACGGCTCTTCTAGGATGCTTGGATATTCAGACATACAGGTATACAATTATAAATTCTCAAAGGTATCCAAATAACTTAACATTCCAGTGGGAATATCTACTGAAGCAGTTGAAACAACATACTCTAATGTTGTCCACCATGGAACCCAAATATGTGGTATTGGTTGTCTGGCTACAAAAGGAAGTATTATGATTAAAGAACTTCTTTGAGCTGCAGAGATACGACCTCATGTGATGAAGGTGCATGAAGATATTCTACGACAACGAGTCCATGATTCGTAATGCTAATATTAAGGACATAAGGATGGACTATGGTCACCTTTTGGACGAGATCCAAGCAGCAGAGAGAGAGGCTTCATGACTCCCACTGAGGCTACATTCATGAATCCTTAGTGTAAGGATGGATGGCGAAAGAGTTCGCCAGGTTATGTAATGAGCACGAGAGAAAATAAGTGAAAAATACTTGAGAGAGAGATTGTAATGGGGGATGAGAGTGTGAGGGCGAAATTATAAGGTCTTCAAAGACCAGGTGGGAGATGTTAGGGCCATTTAAAGGCCTTATGGGAGCATGTAATGAAATCATATATAGTGATATGTTCATTCCAGTGGGAGTGTGGTCCAGATTGGAATGTGAGGCATTATTAGTGTCGAGACTCACCTATGCTTTAACTAGTTATGGCTCAAGGTGATGTCTAAAACTCGTAGCCTTGGGCATTTGTGCACAACGATAAGGATTCGATGTGAGATTAACCCTTGATGAGGTTGGAGTTGTACCCAAGGCGGTTGGTCAAGGGACTGGATGTAACCCCTGTGTGTAATGGGTGGCCAAAGAGGACAAGGGCCAAAATCCTCATCATTACCATCACACGACACATACACTAGATAGTTGTCCGGGAAGAGGCCCTCTAGATGAGGGTGTATGTTTTATACACGTGCCAAAGAGACGACTCCCTGCAACATTGACTGTGTTGGAAGGACCAGTGTAACATAGTGCTGGAATAAGGCCTGGACTTGTCCTTATGGAGGGATCTATAATCTAAGGACTAGGATCGTGTCTCTTGCATTTATTGGCTAACTTTGATTCTAATCATGAACCCTGGGAAGGGTTGTAGGTCATGGGAACTATTGGATCAGTTTGAAAAGGTGGAGTGAGATTCGGTTTTAAACAAGGATGGAGTCCTCAATATATTTGTTATATTCCAAACTCTTTGGAACCAATTCTGATGCAAATAAAATTGGGATTTAATTTTTATTTTATTTTAATTTTAGGAATAAAAATTGCCCTAGGATAAGTCAAGTTAGTTTGGGAGGAGGCAGGATTTTGTGTGTGATGTGATATTGATGAATTGGGTTGATTAGTTTCTAAAAAAGAGGAATATAAATAGGATAAGGTTAATATAGGGGGTGTTTAACTTTTCAACAGTAGGCAACGTTTTGCCTTTAGGGGGAGGCTTTCACTAGGTAAAACGTGGGCTATCTATTTAGAAGCAAATCTATTTGGCACGTGAGGTTAAAAGAGAGAAAATATGGAGGAGAGATAAAATAGGGAAAGTCCGTGCAGAGAGAGGTCTTTATTTAATTATTGTTTATCTTCTTTTTTAGCCTATTTAAAGGGAGATCTCCCTTAATTGTAATCAGAGAATGATCAAATATTGAAATTGAGTAAAATTTGGTCTTGTGAAAAGATCGTTTTTGGGGTAAATTCCCTTGAAGACCTTGAGCGATGGTATATTCTCTCATTGGGGGTGAAATCCCTTGTGAACCTTGAGAGAGGGTAAATTTTCTCACCTTTGTTATTGTTTTTACTTTAATTATTTTTTTCCCTACATCAAATTCCCATCAAATTTTCTTTAATATGTTTAATTATGTTTTAATTATAATTTTAATAATTAAAATGAATTTTTAGACTTCTTTGGTTATTTTATTTCATTAAAAAATAATTTTAAATAAGAAAATTTAACATTATAAAAAAAATCAGTTTTCGGGCTTTATTTATTTCAAAGAGGAAAATAGAATATTCAAAAGATTTATAAAAATCTTTTTATTATTCTAAAATATAACATAGGGTGTGGGGGCCCATTGGGATTTTGGGCCCACCATAAATAAGCCTACTAGTGGGGGCGTGGGGCCCACATGGTTATCCATGTGTGAGGCACCCCACTCCCTTCTTCTTTCCTTTTTGTGTGGCTTGTGTGCTAAACCTCCCTCTTGACTGGATAAAAAAAGGACAGTGTTATATAAATAATTTGATTGATTTCAAATAGGAAAATGTAGAGATTAATTGAAATTGATTTGCAAAAAAATAGTATTTCCTCTACACAATATTTGATAGAAATAGAATTATGAAAACTGAAGGATATGGTTCCACCTCATTCATTTTAATCATGATGGCTAATCTAATGAATGATTAGAGGTCAAGATTGAGTCTCATAATGATAACAAAACTCTAAACGCAAAAATTCTAACCTTTATATTAGAAACACTCTCTATGGGGGTCCTTTTCTCTACATCTTTTGATAAGCCTCCCTCGCTCTCTCTCTCTGAACTCTAAGGCAGGCACGCCCCTCTCTATCTCTCTCTTTCACTTTCAACTTAGCGTAGGGTTTAATTGTAGAAGGTAGAACCCTAAGAGGGGCACGCCCAAGCTAAAAAGGGCCACACTCTAGCCTATGTGCATTGAGATTTTCTCATGTGTTAAACCTTAATCGAAGCCTTATACCATGTCATGCTCTCAAGAGGTTTTGCCTAGGCTTCCCAAGTTATAAGACAAGGTTAAACTAAGATCCCATGCGCCACTGATGGAGGACACCTGGCGTGGGGTGTACGAAGTCTTTGTGGGTAACCTGAGGTAAGGTTTTTGGTATTACTCTATTTAATGCTTTCTTGAATTCATTCATAGTGTCAAGTAATTTTCAAATTTATATTATAACTGAGCTTTTATTTTGATGGCAAGTAAGTGAAAGTCCTTGGTATTCTGCGTTGTTTTATTGATTCATATATTGTACTTGGACACTTCGAAGTGATCCAGGTGGTGAAAATAAAGAAAAAGAAAAGAAATTTACTTACTTTCCCGAGTCACATAGTTCTAATTTTATTGGTATCAGAGCTAAATTTCTTGCTGCCATATTCCTTTTTATTTTTTCTATTCTTTTGTTGAGTTTCGAATAAGACGCCAATGGCTTTTGTGGTCAAGTGATACACCTCTGAAAGAATTATTGGCGTGTTTCCAAAACCGAGAGGCACTTTGTAGATTAGGGTTTTTTGTGATGTTTTGGTACACTGATGTGAACCAAAGGATGAAGTACTTTTATTGAGCATACCCTATTTCTATTTTGCATTTCTAAGAGTAGTATCTCTCAGCAAAATTTCAAAGGGAGATCATGTGGGGATTGAGAGTTATGAACTCATCATTGAGGGATGCTAGTTCTGATCCTGCAAAATCCAGGAACTATGTACTACGTTCCACAAATTTTTCCACGAACTAAATACTTTTATTTTTGGGGATTATCTGACGGTAATTTACCCAAATTGGGTCTAGTTTTAAACAAAAATAACTTCATGGAGAAAACCATTGTGGTTTGAAAGATATGGTTATTTTATTGAAGAGTGCTCAAAAGCTTTTTCTGCAACGGAGACTATTTCAGTGACGTAAAAGTCATGATTTTATATTCCTTCCTAATATAATGTTTTGAAGCCAACACTGAGTCATGATATTGCTATTTTGAGTCTATTTTTCTAACAAAAAAAACTTGAGAGAGAAACTCCATGGGCATTAAGAGAAAAGATTATTTTATTGGAAAAGGGTCATCTTTAATTGCTGCAGCCTGATATGTTTTACTGAGACGTGAATGTCCCTTATTTATTTCCCTGTTGAGAAACATTAATTGGGATTGACATCATGATTTTGAGTTGTGATTTTGGGTCTAGTTTTCAACAAAAAAGTTTGA